TTGTTGCCGTGACAATGATCCTGTTGTACTTAAATGTGGTGAAGACACAAGTTAAAAGCCTTTGGTTTTGTGCCCTTGGTGTTTGATTTATTGAGCCTGTACAAAATCTTACATGAGCGTAGTTTTCTACAGATGTTTAATCCAGCTTACTATGGCCTGGACAATACAGAACTTTAACAGCAAAAAAAAGATAGGTGTAGAGTATTGAAAAAATAAAAAGGAAAATCCAGCTTACTATAGCCTGGACTGCAAGACTTCGTCCATTGACTTTATTAGATTTTCTGATATTCAAAACCCCAAACAACCTGATTCCTAGTATTTGAGGCAAATATTCAGAAAGTAATACGATTTGTTAGGCGCCAGCGGATTGTGAGGGACATCTACTCCCATTTTTCTTGTAGAATCTGAGCGACGGTTGATTATAAAGGGAGAAAAGCATGTAATCTGATTCACATATTTATTTCTTTCCATTTTTTATTCTATATAGTCATGTGTGACCCAAAACCATCATTTGCAATATATCTGTGATTGATATTGGAAAATCAACATCTCTCTCTGTTTTCCCATCATAATATTCTGTTCCCTGCAAGAGAATCAACACTTGCGTAAATTTGTCCTGAAGAACAGCTGCTGCAACATACTCCTACAAGGAACCAAATGAAAAAGATACTGCACAAATTTTGCCTAACTTGAATAATGACAAGATGACCTGGAAGGTTTACACCTCATGCCAATGTGCTGGTACAAACCAATACCTATAATTTAATACATATGCCTAATCGGTATATAGAGTAAGAAAATGATCTTTTCATATTCTCTTTTTCTAATGTGTTTTTCAGGAAAAACTCATGCTTATTGAGGTAAAACAGAAATGCCTGAATCTTGTTCCTCAACCAGAGATCTATCTTTGTCATTCAGACCGGCATGGTGTAATCCAATGCCAAACTGCAAGGTGTGCCTCAGGTTAAAGAACCATCTGTCGGGCTTCTTCTGGCATACTAAGAAACTGCATTGGATATTCATCTGACGTTGCCAACTTCAATAACAGAAAAGCACAAAAAAAATCGAATCAACGCAGCAGCCGAAACTGAAAAAAAATAATCCAAGCTTGAGTTGAGAGATGAGAGAGAGGCTCAAGACCGAGTATTTGAATTTTGAAGATTGGACTGCGAGTGCAAGCTTCGTGTTCGCTTCTCTGTCTCTTCATTTCGCTCGCACACTACATTCCTCTGCGAGAGCAAGCTTCGTCTGTCTTCATTTGGAAAAAAAAATGGACACTCAGACCACCAGGCCGCCTAGAACCGCCTAGGCCGCCTAGGTGCCGCCTAGAACCGCCCAGGAAGCCTAGACGCCGCCTAACTCCCTTATAGCATCAGAGTTGTTATCTTAGTGAAGATTTCAATAGCTGAATGACATTTGATGGTTTTCATAGAGAGAGTCCAATCCAATCAACGCAACAACCGAAACGAAAGAAAAAATTTCGAAGCTTGAGTTGAGAGAGAGACACAGAGAGAGAGGCTCGAGACTGAGTCTTTGAAGCTTGGAAGCGCTTATAGAGAAGGAAATGGCTGTGACTGCGAGTGCAAGCTTCGTGGTCGTTTCGAATATATTTCATAGTACAGCCGCGCGGCTAAACAGTTAAAATATTCGAATATATTCAAAGCGTATAGCCCAGTTCTTTTGTCATGTTATTTTAGGGTTTAGGGCTAAAATACCACTTTAGCTAATTAGGATAGAGTTATTTCTTCAATTATTTTATTTATACTAGTGATATACGACATGAAGTTTTTATTAGAAAAACATATAGTTGAAGGCAACTCTGACCTGAAATAGCAGATTGGCTTTGACGTGTGGATCATCTAAGCGGTCCTTATCCACTTTATATCAAACTCAGGTTCAGTATTGTCCAAGCCATAGTAAGCTGGATTATACATCTGTAGAAAACTACGCTCATGTAAGATTTTGTACAGGCTCAATAAATCAAATACCAAGGGCACAAAATAATAAAAACCAAAGGCTTTTAACTTGTGTCTTCACAACATTTAAGAACAAGAGGATGATTGTCACAGCAGCAATGCAAATGATGGGCGTTCTGAACTTTAACAGCAAAAAAAAGATAGGTGTAGAGTATTGCAAAAATAAAAAGGAAAATGGTTTATTGATTAGATATAGGATTGCAAGACTTCATCCATCGACTTTATTAGATTCCTAGTATTTGAGGCAAATATTCAGAAAGTAATACGATTTGTTAGGCGCCGGCAGACTGTGAGGGAATCATAATATTCTGTTCCCTGCAACTGCAAGAGAATCAACACTGACGTAAATTTGTTCTGAAGAACAGCTGCTGCAATATACTCCTGCTAGAAACCTTTGTGAATATAGGAACCAAATGAAAAAGATAGCGCACAAATTTTGCCTTACCTTAATAATGACCAGATGATGACCTAGAAGGTTTACACCCTATGCCAACGTGCTGGTACAAACCAATACCTATAATTTAATACATATGCCTAATCAGTATATTGACTAAGAAAATGATCTTTTTATATTCTCTTTTCCTAATGTGTTTTTCAGGAAAGACTCATGCTTACTGAGGTAAAACAGAAATGCCTGAATCTTGTTCCTCAACCAGAGATCTATCTTTGTCATTCAGATCGGCGTGGTGTAATCCAATGCCAAACTGCAAGGTGTGCCTCAGGTTAAAGAACCATCTGTCAGGCTTCTTCTGGCATACTAAGAAACTGCCTTGGATGTTCATCTGACATTGCCAACTTCAATAATATAAAAGCACAAAAAAATTCGGAAAAACGCAACAACCGAAACCGAAGAAAAAAATTCCAAGCTTGAGTTGAGAGAGAGGCTCAAGACCGAGTATTTGAATTTTGAAGATTGGACTGCGAGTGCAAGCTTCGTGTTTGTTTCTCTGTCTCTTCATTTCACTCGCGCACCACATTCCTCTGCGAGTGCAAGCTTCATCTCTCTTCATTTGGGAAAAAAAGGATGCTCAGACTCGCCCAGGCCACCTAGAACAGCCCAGGCCGCCTAGATTCGCCTAGGCGCTGCCAAGATCCGCCCAGGCTGCCTAGGCGCCGCCTAACTCCCTTATAGCATCAGAGTTGTTACCTTAGTGGAGATTTCAATAGCTGAATGACATTTGATGGTTTTCATAGAGAGAGTCCAATCCAATCCAATCAACGCAGCAGCTGAAACGAAAGAAAAAATTTCGAAGCTTCATTTGAGAGAGAGAGAGAGGCTCATGACTGAGTCTTTGAAGTTTGGAAGCGCTTATAGAGAAGCGAAATGGCTGTGACTGCGAGTGCAAGCTTCGTGTTCGTTTCGAATATATTGAAAGCATATAGCCGACCGGCTATACCTTTAAAGTATTCGAACATATTCCAAGAGTATAGCCGGACGGCTATACCTTTAAAATAATATATTTAGCCAGTATAGCCGATCGGCTATACTCTTTAAATATACAATTTTGTCATGTTATTTTAGGGTTTAGGGCTAAAATACCACTTTAGCTAATTAGGATAGAGTTATTTCTTCAATTATTTTATTTACACCAATGATATTGAGGAATGAGAATTTAAATTCTTTCCAATACCTTCTCCCATTCTAATGATTTCCAGCTATTAGCCCATTAGGCAAGAATAAAAAATGAATTTTATTTATGAGAAATAATACGGGTTAAATCCATAAATACAACAACAAAAAATAGAGACCCGCCAACATTTTGGGGATAAAAGTATCTTGAATTTCAGAGTTTAAAATTACTTGTGTAAGGATTCACTTTCTAAAATGTATCCATTGTAATTATGAACTAAACCCAATGACAGCCTTTTCCTCATTGGCCTTGATTAAAATAATAATTAAAACATAATTACTAATTAAAGTAACAATAGGCTCATTAATATTTTCTCCATAGGCTCTCAATTGATTAATTATTATTTTTATTTTAGCATAATAGTCTTGTGTGGTCTCAGAATCCTTCATTTTAATATTTTCAAACTCTCTTCTCAAGGTTTGTAGTTTAACTGCACGTACCTTGGCATTGCCTTGAAATTCCTCCTTTAAGGTATTCCATGCTTCCCTTGCAGTTGTGGCTCCCGTGATTCTTGGAAAAATCGCATCATGCAAGGCTTGTTGTAAGGCATATAAGGCCTTTGCATCTTTTTGTTGATCTTTCTTCAGTTGCCTCAACTGTTCCACAATTGGGTTTTCTGGATTATTGAAGCCACTATCAATTATGTCCCATAAATCTTGAGACATAAAATAGGTCTTAGCCGCGCGGCTATACGTTTAAAATATTCGAATATATTTAACCAATATAGCCTCCCGGCTATACTCTTGATATATTGATATATTTTAGAGGTATCGCTACCCTGCTGTACTTTTAAAAAATTCTAATATATTTAACAGGTATAGCCGCACGGCTATAAGGTTTATATATTACTATATTTTAGAGGTATAGCCGATCGGCTGTACGGTTCAAATATTCGAATATATTTTACGAGTATAGCCATACGGCTATACGCTTTATATATTAATATATTTTAAAGGTATAGCTGTCCGGCTATACTGTTAAAACATTCGAATATATTTAACCCATATAGCCGGTCGGCTGTACTGTTTACATATATATATATATATATTTTAAAGGTATAGCAGACCGGCTATACGCGTTAAACACTAATATATTTTAATGCCGACCGGCTATACGCGTTAAACACTAATATATTTTAATGCTACTCTTTCCACATTTGTATACCACATGATGTGGACAGCCACATCAATTAAAATACTTTAATATTTTTTTTCTTTTACGATTTATTCCAGTATTTGTTTTTCTAATTGTCTTAATTAAAATACACTTCATTGATTCAATTGATGTGACACATAATATGGACATGTCACATCATGTGGTATAGAAATGTGGGATAAAAATGTGGTAAGTGATGATCCGCACCTTACAATTTATGAACAAGGAAGGTAATCTACTAATCTTCCTTGATGTGCATAGAAGGGAGGCATGCCATCTGCTGCTGCTGCTGTTGTTTCCAGGCGTTGCAGGACCTGACTGGCTCTCCCGTGAGGGGTATTACGGGAAGGTTGTCACAATTACAGATCTCAATCATAGTGGCATCAGCGTCATGGAAGAAAAACTGAGCAACGTAGATTCCACCCTCATCCACCCTGCACTTCACGTACTCTATCTCCATCTCCTTCAATTTTTTCTCCACTGTGACCATGCTCTCACACTAAAAACAATTCAGATGTATTTCTAGTCATTTTCACATCACAAATATACTTTACACACGTACACGTAAAAGATATATATATATATATATATATAAGCATACAAAAAATGAATAAAAGAGCAAGAGAGAGAGAGAGAGAGACCTGGAAAGAAATGTGGTTATCCTTGGGGTTAATCTGGGTGATCTTCTTGGGCATTTTATCAGGGTCTTCAGATTGGAGAAGATGTATGTCAATGCCATAATTCAATAGCCTATGATTCAAATGTCACAGAATTAACCAAAAACCAAATTAATACTCAATATTTATAATGTTTCAAAAACAGAGGAACCAATTCAATAAAAATGAAGGGTAGTTGTTGTTGGTTTTCCAAGTTTTTAAGAATTATACCATGCACCATTAAAGTCAAAGGAGCCAGGCCTCCTAATTGGGAAGAACCCAAGAACACTCTGGTAGAAATCAAGGGATTTCTCAACTGATCTGCACACCAATGAGATGTGATTCAAGGACTTCAAATTCAGCATGCTTTCTTTCATAATTTATGTAACACTCTATTTCTTTCATAAAATAAACAGAGTTGAGAGGAGAAAATGGCGGAATGTTGCATATATATATGGCATGGGTTTTCTGTCCTTTTCTTCTCAGGTGACAGCCTCACAGATCAAGTTTCAGATAGTGAGATATCTATTACACACGTAGGTTCCACGTTACGTTGGTGACTCCATTACTCGTTTCTTCGCTGACACGTAAGGTCCTTCTGATTCTGAAGACCTTTTACTCCAACCAAGTTGCAGTTGCAGAGACAAGGAAACTTCTTATTAGCTGCAAAGTAATTACTCCAACCAAGTTGCCTTTCTTTATTTTGCATGCAATTTTACACAAACCCAGGTCAGACCAAATGTTGGCGAGAGTAAACACACACACACACACACACACACACACACACACACACACACACACACACACACACACACACACACACACACACACACACACACACACACACACACACACACACACACACACACACACACACACACACACACACACACACACACACACACACACACACACACACACACACACACACACACACACACACAC